AAATGGCAGAGGGCTCTCAGCTTGGGAATTAATTGTGTCTAAAGAAATAACTGTAAAAAGAGATTTAAATTTTTTTTTTTTACTGTTGAGCTAGAGCTAAATGTCCATACATTACATGCGTGATTACATAAATACATACAGAACGCACCGTTTTACTCATAAATGAACAACATACTTAATATAATAAATAAAACTTTTACTGCTCTACAGGAGTTAGTAGTTAATAGTATGTAACATAACCAAATGCCTAAAACTACTGCGCCTTAACCTGTTCAGAACCAATTCCAAATACCAAAAAATATTGTAATGGTAGATTTCTACTCTAAATGCACAGTAATACAAAAATTTATGAAAATACTTTATGTGTAATTTCTTTCTAATTTCTATAGATTCAAATGTGCTTGACGGTCGGCCATGCTTGCTGAAAAAGTGGGTGATTCTCTACTGTAGTCCACTTTAGATGATGTGTAACACTGTGATTGACTTATAGACATCCAATCAAAGCGCATTCAGGTGGAGTCAGATGACAGCAATCATAGGTCTAGACATCCCAGAAAGGTTTATGTCAATTGGAATGGATGGGGGATCTGAACGGATATGTTTGCCTAATCGCTGAATTATACAGTGATGATCTTCCCCAGAAGAGTGTGAAAATTTACACATTGAAGTGGATCAAATCCTAACAAAAGACACTTCCCCTCCCTCCTGCCCTCCAGGTCCTGCAGCCAGACTTCAGGTTGGACTACTGTCGGCTGTGGCAGGCTCTGATTAAAGGTGACATGCCTGGGGTGGAGCGTTACAGCCGCAGACTGGGAGCTGGAGCTCTGTACCCGCTGTTTGCCTGTGTGCTCACCGCTCGCTCCTGGACCGCCGTCAATGCTGGCATCAGTTCTGTGCCTGTCACACACTCTGAGGTATGAGCTCACACACACACATATGTGGTATTGCTTCACAGAGGTTCAAGGAGTGCAGGCATTGCAATAAACATCCAAATCTAAAAACAAACGCAACACTGAAACAACAATAAAAACATGGAAGTGATACGTCTAAAGCCTTGAAACTTAGAGGCTAGAATGTTCACCCAACTGGCTCAGGAGGTAGAGCAGACGTCCGCTAATCAGAAGGTTGGTGGTTCCATCCCTGACTCCTCCCTCTGCATGTATGAATTTCCTTGGGAAAGAAACTGAACCCCAAATTGCTCATGATGGCTGCCATCGGTGTATGAGCAGAATTAGTTTGTTTCTGATGAGCAGTTGGCACCTTGCATGGCAGCCCCTGCCATCAGTGTATGGGTGAATGTGACACGTAGTGCTTTGGAAGACTAGAAAGGTGTAAGTGTAGTCCATTTACCATTTGTCTTGGATAGATTCAAGATCAAGGTGCTCTTGTCTACACTGGTGAAAGCAGCTTGTCAGCAGTGCGGTAATCAACACAATGAATGTAGTTACAATAAAGACTTGAAAAGTAAAAATACACTGGATTGCAGTTACTCCTGCAAAGCCCAAGTGAAGTGCTTTCCGTTAGAGGGCTGGTATTGACAGCTGTACGGATTCAAACTGAAGCACATCAGTTTCATCAGACACGCATGAGACAACGACTGGAACACACGGCTGAAATGCATCCGGTGTGGACAGGCTGTTAGAGCTGACTATCTGGTGGATGTTTCAGAACCTCTGCAAGTAAAACTGAAATCTGCCTGGCAAAGTATGAGGCTTTGTTTTTGCTTAAATAGCATTTTGGATTCAGATTTAGGCTCAGAGGTAAGGATGATGATTTTAAGGGGTGGATAGTGCTGATTGCTACCAAATCTTCTTTGCATTATCATGGCACAAAGCTTATTAGAAGTTGCCTAAGGCTTGTTGATATCTTATTTGGTTTTCAAGATATTGACTTCAGAAGAGGCTTGTTTCAGCACATAAATATACATGTCAACAACCATTGGGCCAATCATCTCAAAACTCATGGGATATATCTACATAAGTACCTGAAACATTCAAACTGACCACTAGGGGACGCTACAAGTGCTTGCAGACTTTAGAGAAGTGACAGAAACCAACAGGAAAAAATGGTTTTGCTGTTGGTACATTAAAGGACCCCTGTGTTGGATACATACCCTTAGCTCCATTGAAGGGAGATGTTAATGCAACAGGCAGAGTTGCATTTGTGTTTAGACAGCGGTGTTAATTTCTAACTTTGTGTCAACGGCTTGTATTTTGTCTGTCCCAGTTTGATGTGAAAGAACTCGACAGAACTCCTCCTCCTCCTCCTAAAGCCAGGCATCATCACCTAACAACAGTGTTAGACCTCATTAATGCTTTTGTGGTTAAATGAGAGCAAAAGTCTACAGCCAGGTTAAGTATGTGGTGGGAAGACTGAAAACCAGAAGAGTGGAGTCCATTATACCAGCATGTTAATGCCCGTGGATTGTCCACATACTTTTGGCCATGGAGTTTAGCAAGTTATTTTAGCAAATATTCCCAATGCTCATTTCCCATCCAAGGAGACCCAAATATTAACACTAAACATTAAAATGACTTTAATTGCACTTTTTTCTTAATGATGAGATTGTTTTTAGAATCCACCAGCACAAAACTGGTTTGTATGTGTTTGTACGTGTCCCATTACCCACAGGGGTTCCACAATGCCATCTGTGCTCGGGAGAGAGTTTATTTATACCTCTCTTATGCAACATTTTGAAGCTGGCAAAAGTACTACACAACAGTCTGCTACAGTGTGCCACCCCCTCACACATGACGGGCAGTACAAGGCAGAATTTTGCTGGGACCAGTGCATGAATAACTCCCCCGTGTCTTTTTTTGGTATTTCTGAAAATGAAATGTATATTTTTGGGTGAATCATGAGGTAGAGTTAAATCCAGACAGAAATACCAATGAAAAAGTACTGATAATATTCTCATGTTGCACAATAGCCAAATAAACCATATATACAGTAAAAAGTATCCCACCTTAAAGGCTGAGCGTGTATCTGCAAGACTTAGTCAGGATCCCCGCAGCCTGCAGTGATGGATGAGAACAAACAACACACTGGTGATGAAGAGTCTTAGAGCATTAACACTAGTGTGGGCATCCTGATAGCTCACCTGGTAGAAATGGTAGAAACCTGTGACCCTTTGCTGCGTGTCTTCCCCTTTTCTCTCTCTCCTTTCCTATTATTCTGCTGTCACTATCAGTTAAAGGCAATATAGCCCCCCCTACCCAAAAAAAAAGTTTGTCTTGAAGGTGGTGCTAGACAACAGGTCATGGAGGCATTGAAATAAAAATCGAAAGAGTTCATCAGCATGCAGCAATGTGATCAGCATTTATTCCGAAATGACAATATTATTCCATTCCATTCCATTTGGATATTCCAAATTAGCCCAGAATATAGCCTTGCCTGATTAAGACATGTGGTATATGCCAATATTATTTCGGTTTTAGGAGTATTCTTTGGACATGTATACAGCGCAGTCTGAATATGTGTCAGAGAGGGTATAAGGTTGGAAATTAATTATTTTGTTTTGAACTGCTAAAGCAACGCAGTTTTTTCATTTTGGGGAAAATACTCATAGGCCACATCAGACTGCAGGCCAAAGTGACCAATATGATTTTTTTGCTCATACGTATGTCTCAAACCTGATCTGACAGTGTGAACAGCACAAACCACATGGAATTGGATCTTTTCAATTCTGTAGATAAAAATTCTAAGGTAACAAAAACACAGTTTCTGCCAAGAGATCTTTCTAAATGTTACACACTGGACTTTTAAGCCATGCTATAACAAAAACAAAAGTTTTCCAAAAGGGCAGCATATACCATTACCTTGATGATGTGTTGGAGGTGCACTGGTTCACACAGACACAGCTCTTTCCCTAACAGCTGAACAGTGAACTGACTCCTGACTGACATATTTTATGTATATTTCACTAAATTAACTGCATAATAATAACAGTAGAGAACAACTAATAAACTGTAAAATGAACACAAACAGTGAACACAATAATTGCAGGGTGTTTGTGTAAAATGAGCGATGTGGATGAATTCAGAGCAGATTATTTCCTGTTAATATTACATCAGAGATAAGTTTTCCTGATATTTTAGGCACTTTTATACAATTCTCTGTCTGTATAATGTTTTTTTAATTTTTAACAATCACACCAACTTAATAGGCTTCTTTGTGATAAACTGACGACACAGCTCTTCATCTAACAGCTCACTGAAACACATGTCCATGGGCTTGACATGGCACAGCACCATAAGCACAGAGTCTGTGGACAGAAAGCTTTGTGGCTACAAAGTGACTTCAGAGGAAAAAAGAAATGTCCTTGCAAAGAGGCTGGATAGTTTTGGGGACTGGTTCATTGATTGCCAGGTTGCACACTATTTAGGGAACAGACTAAGCTTGTGTGTGTGCATTTTTCTGCATTCTTAACCATAATAGCTGTATTGCAGTGTGAGAATGTACAAGGTGTGCTCCTGCCCCTTCCTCTGTCTGCCACTTTAGCCGAGATGAAAGCACTCCCATCAATCTAGGCCATCTGTCTGTGTCATTTATATTCCCTTTTATATACACACACACACACAATGGATGGCTACGGAAACACTACACAGACAACACACTGCGCAACATCATCACACACACTATCACATGGAAAAAGGAAGAACGGATTTATGCTACAACCGTCGTCTACAACAAACACACACACACAACAAAACACCACACACACACGACCACACACAACACACGTATTTAATATCTACGTGATTAAGAATTGATAAATCAGTCTGCTATTGATTATACTCTCGGTGGTTAACACAGCATCGTGTGTCGTGCTCAAGAGTTCTTTCTGCTTTCCGACCGTCCAAAACAGAGAACGATCAAAACTCGCGACCGTAAAAATACATCTGAACTTCATCCTTTATTCCCAACAGCTATCTAACCTTTATCTAAACCAACCAAACCTTAAAGGTAAACCAAACCTAATAACAGCTTTTTCTGTTGATTCTTTTTTGGGGATTTCTTTTATAACCATAATGGCATCAGAACAACAGTATTAGGCAGTGTGAATATGTACAATCCTGCACGATCCTGTCCCCCGTTCACAATCCCTCACCCTTGCAAATTAGCCGAGAGAAATCACTCCCAATCAATCTAGCCATCTTGTCTGTGTCAATTTATATTCCTTTTATATACACACACACACAACCCAACACACACCACACAC